CTCAATTTTGACGGTGAGCAAAACACTGATTATCTTAGCTAAAAAATTCCCTTTTCTGAGACTAGGATATGATTGATTTAAAAAATGACAAACCTGTCCCTTTAAAAGAGTAGAAATTTTTTAATTTTACATTTCAGCCAATATTTATTAAAGAATGGTTTTCATTGTCATATAAAAGATCCTCTATCATTTCTGTCAGCAACACAACTCAATAATTACCTGGATAACAATAATATTCAATGTTTACTGGGTATACATCTATATAAATCAGGCTGTCTATTAAAAGGTAGAGTATAATAATATACAATGTTTCTGGGTATAAATCTATATAAATCAGGCTGTCTATCAAAAGGTAGAGTATAATAATATACAATGTTTACTGGGTATACATCTATATAAATCAGACTGTCTATTAAAAGGTAGAGTATGATAATATACAATGTTTACTGGGTATAAATCTATATAAATCAGGCTGTCTATTAAAAGGTAGAGTATAATGATATACAATTTTTACTGGGTATACATCTATATAAATCAGGCTGTCTATTAAAAGGTAGAGTATAATAATATACAATGTTTACTGGGTATAAATCTATATAAATCAGACTGTCTATTAAAAGGTAGAGTATAATAATATACAATGTTTACTGGGTATACATCTATATAAATCAGGCTGTCTATCAAAAGGTAGAGTATGATAATATACAATGTTTACTGGGTATAAATCTATATAAATCAGGCTGTCTATTAAAAGGTAGAGTATAATGATATACAATGTTTACTGGGTATACATCTATATAAATCAGGCTGTCTATTAAAAGGTAGAGTATAATAATATACAATGTTTACTGGATATAAATCTATATAAATCAGGCTGTCTATCAAAAGGTAGAGTATGATAATATACAATGTTTACTGGGTATACATCTGTATAAATCAGGCTGTCTATTAAAAGGTAGAGTATAATGATATACAATTTTTACTGGGTATACATCTGTATAAATCAGGCTGTCTATTAAAAGGTAGAGTATAATAATATACAATGTTTACTGGGTATACATCTATATAAATCAGGCTGTCTATCAAAAGGTAGAATATAATAATATACAATGTTTACTGGGTATATCTGTATAAATCAGGCTGTCTATTAAACATTTTGTTACTCAGAGAGCTTCATGCTGTGTGATCCGAACAAATGATCTAATTCAGCATATGTTGATCAGTTGTCAGAAGATCAGTCATGTGACAGCCTGAAATAGATCAGTTGTTTAAAGATTGTATAGGAGACAATCTAAAAATGATCAGTTGTCTGGGGATCGCAGGGCATGAAACTACATGTTTCAGGTTCTGTTTTATTATTTCTATATATGATGCATTGAATACTAATAGTGAGAAGGTTTTGTTATTGCAGTTTGATATCTTGTATATTTAATTATAGATTGTAAGAAACCCTATGTGATAATAATTGGTGGAACTGATGTTAATAAATATCATACAGATCTTCATATGTTAGACATAATGACACAAACAGTCAGTTCTGCCAGGTACTGTTTGTCATTTTGCTTCATATCAAGGATGTCAAAGTCAGATAGCTCATGATATTAACAAACTAGTAGCGTTTCTATGAATCAAAAATTGACCAAAACGTTGTCTCAAAGAAATTCTTTAACTATGTACCATAATTAGAAAGTTTAAAGTGGAGGCTAGGGTCAGGGAATGGGAATGCCAAGCCATCTGCTTTTCTAAACCCAAGGCCCATCAAACCTCTGTAGAAATTAAACTATGCAAGACTGGATTAAGGTCACTTAAGATATTCTAGTTGAGATATAAGTAAGGTTTTAAAATTTTAATTATAGATATCTGGTTGTGTTTGGTGAGTCTTTAAGAAAACGGGTTCATCATTTATGGGTAGGTATTCTTGTAACTGGTGATAATCTCAAAACTTGCTAAAATTAGTTCTGAGTTTTCAAGCTGGTTAATAGCTGTTAGTAATTAATTTGGCGGCTGACATGAAAAATACATTATTGTTGAGTTCTTTTACAATGATTACTGGTGAAATTAGTACAATGTCAACCAATCAGAACACCTGATCCTAGATATGACAGGTTCAGAGCTCTTTCAATATTATTGTCCTTTTTTTTACTCCAGCCAAATCTCCCACCAAAGAAACTTGTGGAAATCAAACAGGGTGAGTTTTTATTATGTAACCTCTCAGGTACCCCAGGGGCACTAGGGTTTTGGATTATATCAAATTAAAGAAATATTCAAGGTTGAAATTTATTTTAAATGACAAAATTCTTTTATTTAATTGTTAAAAATTTGGAATGTTCATGCTTAAAGGAACATTCTGCTTTTTTATAGGTTGAACCTAGAGAAATGTGTCCTTTAAGGTATCTGAAAGTTTGAACTAAACACATTCATACACATTTTTTAACGCCAAACTTTTTAAAAAGTTAACATAAACTTTTAAAGTTTTTTATGCTTTTTGAAAGCTGTGAGACAACTACTGTACTATAAAATAAACATCTAATTGTAGGGAAATATGTTTCCTACGTTTTCTGAATAGAAGGTTTCAACTAATGATATCGAGCCATTATAAAGCCAAACACCAAAACTAGATCAAACTGCTTAATTAACAATTAGCACTCTCCGTTTTTAATTAACCCTTTTAAATCAAATTCTGTTTGATCAAATAGATACATAAATATAAATAGCATACTTTAAAAATATTTCAGGTATAATTTACAACGTTGATAATGAAAATGTTTTATAAAAAAAGTGGAATGGGCCTTTAAATATATAAATTTGACATATATAATACTTATGCAGTAAATATAGCTAAATCAATATCCCAGGTATAAAGCTATAAAATTACTGTTCATGCCACTGGAAATTCAGGTTAATTAATAAAAATGGATGAAATCTATATTTTCTTGCAGCTGTGATAACCAACCCCTCCTCGTTTTGTTTATATGAATATTTACGATCCAATGATTATATTGATAATAGAAGCAATAACTGTGATATTAAATTGTTTTTATTAATAAGTGGTATACGTCATGTTAAAGATCCACTATATTTAGTCAAACAAATGTCTTGTAAGTATATTTTATTATTATATTATGGCAATTCTTTCAAAATCTTATCACAGAGTTTTTTTGGTAATATTACAATTTTGCATTTTAAATCTTTGCCATGAGCTTTATTAATCAAAAAGTGCATGTCATGCAATAGTTGAAATTTTGCCGTGATAGTGGCATTGGCTTACTCTTTGTCATTGGCAACTGTCTAGGAATCTAAAAGGAGGGAAACCTTGAGCAGACTGGACCTCGGCCAAATTAAAGTACTAGCTGGTAGATGACTATTGATTGGAAGATTTGTTTCAAATGCTAATGACCATTTCAAGAATTTTAAATATTACTTCAGATTTATCTGGGATATCTCCTTTAATATAATTTGATGTTACAGATTGGCATAATGAAGATGACAATATTTATTATATTATTATTGGACCAATGGTAAGGGATATATACATTGTAGCAAGGCCTTTTTTTAGTGCCTGGTCAAATTTAGAAATATTTTGTATCATTTGTTACCCAGAGTGAAAATTCTGCAGAATGCTGAAGCCTCTGAAAGTTTAAACTTGTTTGTTACCATCTGATTGACCAGCAGCTATGTCAGACAGACAGAATTTAATTTAAGACACTACAGCCATTGGATTTTTCTTCTGAAAAGCAATATGGATAAAGTTTTCCTTTAACTTGTTTTAATTTCTAGATTGAAGAAGATTGTTACAAAGAATTTACCTCCACAATCAAAAGGTAAAATCTATTTAGTTATTATGGCTATTTAGAAATAGTACCACAAAAGTGATGATAGCGCAAAGTCTACAAATTGACCCAAACAACCTACTTAAAGCATTCTTTTGAGCCATTTACAGCTCAATTGGGAAAATTTTACTTCAGATTGTTATTGCAAAATGAATTGTTGGATTTGGTCTTTAATCAAAAATTTTACAATAGTGTTTTTCTATAGGAGAGTATTTCTTTATTACATCTAATACAGAGCATTTTAAAGGGATTGTAAAATGATTTTTGAATTTTTTTAAAATTTGTATCAACAACACTGATAGCATCAATTTGTGTCTGTAGCTCCTGCAATACCATTAGAATTAAGTGTTTGATGACATCACTAATCGCAAAATATTCTTTATCACATAAGGCCCTTCGCAATTAGTAGCATCATTAGTGACTGAATTTGGACAAAATTCCAGAGAGAAAATCTGTCACAATATCAAAATCAACAAGTTTTGTTGTATTAGGCTTATGAAGTTTATTGATATATTTTTGTTTATATTGTAGTTTACAAGGTGTTGTCTATATACCAGGTCTTTCTTTATCTGATACTCATACAGCCATTAAACAAGCTTATTGTGTAGTCAATTCATCTAAAAGTGAGGGCATGTCTTTAGCTTTATTAGAGGTATAACAACATTTCTAATTTTACACTGGTTAAAGAGAAACAGTCAGCATGTACTTTGAATATTTTGTAAAAAAACTAGAACCTTAAAAGGTTTGTCTTTCTAGTGGAAATGGTCTCACAATTACATGTAAATTAATGTGATGTTATTTACAGGTTATTGTTAACTTGAGCTAATTGATAGCAATAATAAATCTATTTATGCATTAAACTACTACTCTCCAACATGGAGTTATTAATAATTAAGGATAAACATAGATAAGAAGGCTAAAATTTTGACAGTCAGCAGTGAGCACTTGTACTGATTAGCTTACCAATTTCTGAGACCAAGGTAGAAATGACCATGCAATAAAGAGATACAGTATACCCATGTTACTAATTACAGGCTATGGAACTGGGAACACCAGTATTAGCTAGAAATATATGCGGTAATAGAGATTTGATAACACATAAACTAACAGGATTGCTGTTTAACACTCCTCAGGTATGGATTTTTATATACAGTATCTTTACTGTAGGTGATGCCGCTTGAAGGGGCTGACTTTGGAAAAGCTGGCACATAAACAAAGAACTATATGCTAAGGACTGTGAGGCTTGAAATAGGAATTAAGGTGACAAAATTTGAAGGTTGGAAAAGTTGGCTATGTAATTAGATATTCTGTTCAGATAGGAGTGTTAACTGAGAGACACGTCATGATTAAGATTGTGTTGTTTAAAATAGCAAAAAGAATTTGGGAAAAAGATTTTCTATTCACATAGAACAAAACTGAGTTCCATTATGCTGAAGAATGTGTAGTTGGAAATATGAAGGGTTTGACATATTTCCTTTGTTGCACACTGCATGGTATTGTCTGTCTTAAATAACCTCATAACTTTCAAATTCTCTCATTCTGCCTATATTTCTGGCTAATTTTTACTCTACCTATATAAGGATTTTTTTGAATACATTCTAAAAATTGAAAATTAAAAAAAAAAAGCCATATTTGTTGATTTTACCTAAAGCACTGATTGATCATTCAGCAGTTATCGTAAGTTGCAGAATGCTAGCATAACTTTAACGGAGGCGGTTTGTTATTCAATGCTGGGCATATCCTCATGGCTTTTATGTGTACAAGATTCAAAGCAATTTCTCTTTCATGCTTGCTTTTATTCCAGGAATTTGTTAAAGAAGCTAAATATTTGATCATGGTACCAAATCTAAGAGAAACTCTCATAGCAGAAGCAAAAGTTCATGTATCAAAACAACACTCTTCTTTAGTGGAGGAGAAAAAGTATTGTGAACTTATTAGTAAGTGTTTATGTCAGCATTACAGCGATCTTCCATAAACACACAATGTTTCATTTCTAAAATTGGTCAAATCATGTATATTTACATCTATTAAAGTATTGAAAGTAAAATCTGAAAATGTCAAACATCAAACCTAGAGTTAATTGTAATTTTTTGTACAATATTTTAGATAATATTATGTTTCTATCATATTGTTATTGTTTTAATAGCTTTTGATAACATTTAAAAATCTGTTTTATATTAAGGTTGTAGAAAATATATTCTATTTAATTGGCTGAGTTGATTTTCTGAAAAAGTCTTCATTAATTGCAAAGGAAGCTGCAGTGGCTTATTGGCATTGAAATGCCCATCTTTTCTGTTTCGTATGGGGTTTCATTGAAGACTGGCAACACCAAAATGTGTGCAAATATCAAGGCAAGGCAATATCACTTTTAACTGTGAAACAAATGTTACAAGCAGATGGAATCACACGTAGACTCTTGTTTGGCCTATTTGAAATAGTATTTTTTCCCATGTCAACCCTTGTTCCTACATCACAGACATGACACGAAGAACCAACCCTTAGATCAGAGGTTACCTAGCAACTAAAAAAAACATCGAGGTTAAAAATATAAAAACTTTCTTAACAAAAAGCATTTTACAGAATAAATAATAATAACAATATTTACTCATTATACAAAAATATCAATAAAAACCCCGATTTTACTTTTGTCTTAAAAATATACATTAAAGGGATTGTAAAGAGGTTTTTAAACTTTTTATGTGTATCAGGGACACTGATAGCATCAATTTGCACAATTCCAATTTTCATTCTGATGTTTGCAGTTCTTGTAATTCGACAAAAACTAAGCGTTTCATTGTCACTAGAGGGAAATTGCATAATTATATTAATAGTAGCATGGCCAGCTCCCCTCTAGTAATGTCATAAAATGAGTTAGTTTTAGTGGAATTACAAGAACCACAGACGTCTGAATGAAAATTGGAATGGTGCAAATTGATGCTACCAGTGTCCCTGATACACATAAAACGTTAAGAAAACCTCTTTACAATCTATTTAACAATTAAATAACAAGTTCATAACAAAGCAAGAGATATTCAATAAAATAATTCAGTTTCATCATACACTACCACCAATTTAGAATGTTTTTATTGTCACAAATTAGGAGGGGACCTCCAAGGTGCAGGCTTGATTAGTGACTTTTGCATGTTTCGGATTTATAGTATCAACAGAACGTTCAGAACATATTTCAGAACCGGTTCCATGTATTGCAAAAAAATATTTAAAATGGTAGAGAAGGAAATAGACTGGTAAATGTTGTTTGTGGCACATTTGCTTTTAAACCATTCTATTGGGGTCTAAATGAAACCAATTCGATATTTTCACTGAAACTGGAATTTTCGTCATCAATTTGCATATAAGTGAGTTGAAAGTTTTATGACTAATTTTATGACTAATAAATAATGATTATTATAGTAAGCTTTATCTACATCAACCAATTGATGGCTATAGATACAGTATTCCTTCTACACCACATCTTCCTAATGTCAGGATTAACGAACTTTGTCTAATACCTTGACTCCAATAGCTGCCTTCTTGTGTTACAAATAAATGGATTGTATGAATACAGCCAATCAGTGTCATCAATATAAGCACTGCATTTTTGCTTATGGTATTGGCTCTTTTCGGTAGCGGACAAACCAATCAAATCACTGCATTTACAAACTTCCTTGATACAAGAAATGTGGCCATTGCAGTCCAGGTATAAGACACAGCTAGACATTGTGAAGATGTCTACACCATTGCTATAAATAAGATTTATGTTGAGTAGATTCACAGCCCTTACAAGAGATATGTACTAAAAACATGAAATGGTTCATTGACCGTTCTGTACACTTGTATATTCAATTAAATATTCAGGGTAGGACTGAGCACTATCAAAAATACAATATATCTGGGGGCTTTCAGACCTGTCAGTCACCGAATTAAATAGTCTATTTTTAGCATCTGATGGGTCTGAAGGAGGTCTTGTTAATCCACTGTAACCATTTGTTGAGCGTCCACAAACTACTCGCGCTACTAACATATACTGCAGTCCGTGGAAAGAATAATATGAATTACGCAAGTAATGTTTTTGTTTAATTATTTTTGCCGATGAATTCATATTGTTTGGCTGAAGTAGTGTATGTGATATATCAGAATGTTTTGAAGTTGATGCTGCTGTTCTTTCATTACTAGGTGAGCCTGTCTTCGTTCGATTGTCTATAAACAAACCTAGGTTAGATGATTTTAACACATTGGGTGTACCTAAAGGAAGAACTGAGTTATATCTATCTGAGTAATTGGCATGTACAGCAAAGTAGGCTCCTGTAATAAAAGATACATTTTTAGATTACAATAATTGTTATGTCAATTTGAACACATTTCGGAAAGACATCACACACAAAACTATTCTCTTAATAACCTGAATTTGGTTGATAAGACAAAACAAATGACCTGGCAAAGTGGACCATGTAAGATTTTCTAAATTGTCAGCGTTTATTGGTTTATAATGATATTAGATATGGTTGGATATATTAAAGAACGTTTTTTTAAATATTGAAAAAAAAATACAGATAGTATATATATAATCTACCTTTGCCATATGCTTGACCATTCTTGACAGATAATCTCCAGTCAAATCCCTCTTGACAAATTCGCTCGATATTTTGATGGTCTGTACCATGGAATAAATGCAACTCGTTCAGTTTCTGAACTCCAAAATCATCTAGTATATGTTTCCTTGTCCTGAACAGATAATGAGAAATTGTATTTGTTTTATTAAAGCTAAATTTGGCAAGTGGATAGAATAGGATTAAGTTGTAAATCAAATACACAGGAGCAAAGAAAAAGAATAAAACAACAATTTTTTACAAGGATAACATAAAATCATCAAGAATATTCTTAATAAAAAAAAAGACAGATGATTAATGAAGTACTCACAAAGCATATTTTTGCCATAATTTGGTATTCTGTATTCGAATGATAGAAACTATCTGTTTGTTAACTGTAAGATGAAATCGTTGGCATATTGAGTTGTATTCTTTACTGTTAACATCTACTTCTATACATACAAAATCCTAAAATACAATTTATATTATTAGTAATCAGGGATCACAGTAGGTAATCAAAAAATAGAGGAATTGGAAAATTTCAGCTGAGGGTGAAAGGGGCCACTCACTCTCATGTGGGGTAGAATTATGCCATTTTAACATGCTTTTAGAGTTATTTCCTATACATAGAAATCTTTTCATCTCTCAAAACCAAATTTCAAGTGACTTTATAAAGATAGTGGACCACAGTCATATACGCCCACCACGGCATGCGGATGGTAAATATTCAAGGTTTTGGGACAATCGCAATAACTCTGCTTCTAACGGTTGAAAATAGCTTAAATTCGAACTTGATCTTTGTTTTATGAATATTTATACACATACCGAATTTCATTTGATTCCATCAAAAAATCTAGTTTTTAGAGCGTTTACAAGCAAATGTTGACAGACCGATGAACGGACAGGGGTGCCGACAATATATGTCCACATAGAAAGATGTGGGCGTATAAAAAAATTATCACTGGCAAAAATAGAGAAATTCCTCTAAAAAGATTAAAGTGCTTAAAATACAAATCTAGCAATTGAGTGTCCTGGTCTTTTTCCTGTACATAACTCCACATGACAATCATGATCAAACAAACTTCTTATGCCCCTACAGATCTAGGTTCCTTGAATATTAAACCAATTAAATGCCCCGTAATAAAATAATACTAAAATATTCTGGGATATAAATTATACCTACTTTATCTGTTTTAATCTCAATTTTAGACCAGAATTTAGGGTAAGACTCTAAAACATTATTTGAACTAGTTTTATATGTTGATAATAAATCAGTACAGTTGTCATGGTTACAATCATTCCATGATTTCTTACAAAATCTACAAAATGACTGAAAATAAAACACAATAAATTGTTAATGTCAATTGTCAGACAATTTCATCACTATATTGTTGTCAATTAATACAAAACATTGTAAACATTGTGGTCAGACAGTTGTAAATAATAAGGGCTACATATGAGAGGAGAGGGTCACTGAAAACAAGAAGTAAAGAAATCTAGGAAATAGCTTGTGTCCAACCACAAGTAGATGGGCTTGATGTTATAAAGCCTTAAATCAATACATTCAAGACAGAGAATATTCTTTTTCTAAAACCTAAACTTACAAGCATACAGTCTGTATTAGCACAATGTATTTCTTTATGGTGTGCTACTTCACCAATATGGCCACAATCTGGACATCTATAAAATTGATAAGCTATGTTTGAATTAAGTACATATATTAAAATAACCATGACTTATTATTCCATCTGAATGTCAAGACTCATTTGTTTTTACTTTTATTCTTATCTGAATGTCGAGACATATTTGTTTTTAGTTTTCTTATTCTTCCATCTGAATGTCAAGACGTATTTGTTTTTACTGGACTTATTATTCTATCAGAATGTCAAGACGCATTTGTTTTTACTGGACTTATTATTCCATCTGACTGTCAAGACATATTTGTTTTTAGTTTTCTTATTATTCCATCTGAATGTCAAGACATATTTGTTTTTACTAGACTTATTATTCTATCAGAATGTCAAGACACATTTGTTTTTACTGGACTTGTTATTCCATCTGAATGTCAAGACACATTTGTTTTTACTTGACTTATTCCATCTGAATGTCTAGACACATTTATTTTACTCAACTTTTTATTCCATCTATCAAGACATATTTGTCTTTACTGGACTTATTATTATTCCATCAGAATGTCAAGACATATTTGTTTTTACTTGACTTATTATTCCATCTGAATGTCAAGACACATTTGTTTTTACCTCTGTCCCTCAGGCCATAGTATAAAAAAATAAATGTTAAAAAAACTTACTTGACTACATTATCAAAACTTTCAATCGTTGCTAAATTTTCTTTTTCTAATTTATCTTTTATTATATCAGCTATAAATGGTGGCATAATACGACACACTTCACCTGCAAAAACCGAAAAACATTTGTACTCTAGTAGTCATAAAAACAGAAAATTTGCAACCAATCACATGCTCTGATCTGTTAGATATCCTTACTATATATTATAAGATCAGGAATGGCAAGTGAATTAGTCTGCAGAAACAAAAATTTCAGACTATATTTTATTCAAATTGACATTTTAGTTATCTTCTTACAAATAAGGTGTTCTTATGAAAAAAAACAGTGGCAACAACATTTTCCATATACCGTATATTTTCGTGTAAAAATGAGCAGGTTTTTACCCTGAAAAGGGATACACACTATACATGGTGAAATAATTTTTGAGTATTTATTCCCCGCGAAAATTCCGTAATTAAAGGACATTTTGAAATTAAGAAAATTTTGTCCACTTACTAATGGGTAAAAAGCTTGAGCAATCGTTAACTTGACATTTACATACAATCTGGAAAATAAATAAAATGTTTCTGATTCAAACATGATTTGACGTCTGATATATGTTGTAGTTGTCCAGTAAATATTTAAAAGGGAGAGATTTTTATATCAAAATTTAGATTCAGTATTAGTGTGGTAAATCTAAAGTTATAAACTAGCTACAAAATTTTATTGTTTGAGTTTTTGAGAAAAGAGGCCTAGTCATATCACTTTCTTCAAGAATGAAAAATGAAAACATCTATCATTAATATTAATTTATAAAAATCTATACCAACAGTCAAAAGTTAAATGTGAATTGATTGAAAGGTGAATTAAAGGAAAATATAGTTTTATAACTTACATTTTTGTCCTTACTGGTAAAAAATCCCTTGATCTGCCCCTCAATACATTTAGAACAAGTTATATGCCCATCACAACATTGTCCTAGTTGATATATATCACACACCAATAGACATACTTCACAATTTACAACTGAATCTATACAAAATACTTCAATTAATTCAAATAGACACAAATTACATTGGGTCATTGGGAAAAATCATAGCTTCTAGTTCTATAGCACTATTTTGATTCCCTGTCTGGCATCTGGAGTACCATTTCCATTTCAAATCTGATGTCTGTAGTCCCTGAACTTGTCAGGCTTATGACATCACTATCACAAATACCATTAAAACCAATTATTTAGATTCAATTCAGTTACATAACAGAACACTGTTAACTGATTAACCGTCTCATAACTTAATTATTGAATAATATAGGAAAATAACCAAATTTAAAAATATTAAAAGTAAATATAATGATGTCATAGAAATGAAAAGATAACACAACTTACTGTTACAATCCATATCTTCTTCATTATTATTATTTACTTTAACAACATCTAAATTCTAAAAAAAAAAATTTAAAAAAACAATTTTTCAATTTCTCTGTAAATCTTTGAACTGTAATTCACAAACTATAGCAAATTATCAAAGTTTATCGCCATTTTAGGTGGTGATTTTGGTCTTGGAAGTACTAGAAATGTAAAAAAAAAAGTCATTCCTTCAAAATACTTCAATTTCACATTCAATTTCTATAGATGTCTTTTCTTTATATGACAGAGTCTCAAGAAAAGACGAATCGTCTTTTTAACTTTTAAACACTGAACACAGATGGATTTGAAGGCTCAAATTTTGACGGTTAGCAATGAACACTATTACTGATTAGCTGAACTAAAAATTTCCTGTTTCTGAGACTAAGGTACGATTGGTCAAACGGATGGTGACCCTGTCCCTTTATTTTTAAAGGGAGAAATATACTTTTCACAACGAAAAATTGAATTCTGACACTTATCAAAAAGAAGAACATATCCTTTCTTACCTTTCTTACAGATTTTTTGGGTGAAGGATCTTCTTCTCTTATGTCATCCATTTTCCTCTTTCTATTAAATACAGTTGTATCTGTTGGTACATGAGATGTTGAGGGAGCAGAAACGTGTCTAACCAGATTTTCTCCTCTTGAAGAGCTTTCGGATTCATTACTTTTTTTTTTTGTCTTTTGGTGTTTTCCAGCACCACCTTTTTGCCTGGGATTTTGAGGTCCATCTAAAATCATCATTATCACCTCAGAAACAAAGTTTTCAGGATTTGCTTTTTTAATATCAATTAGAAGATATCTTACAGTAGCAGCATTGGCATCAGGAAACATTTCCATCTGAAATAAAAAAGATAGCTTGCCAGGAAAGGTAATATATATGTCTAGCTCTGATTTTGAATAAAAATATTTTGCAGTAAGTAATATTCAACCTTCAGTCATACACTTCTTTTGAACTTTTTTAGGTGATACTGAAAAATATTAACAAGTTTTGTCCAAATTGTCAAAAATTGTGCCATCTAGAGCGTTAACAAGCTAAAAATTGAACGTGTTTTCAAGCACAAGGGCAATATCTCATATTAAATGTTTCGATTTTTCGGAATTTCAACAGAGCTCATGGGTGATTACAAACACTCACAAAAAACACCAATCCAGACAAAAAGTTAGCTATCTCATTGTAGATAGGCTTTCACCCACTTTGGCCTTAAATGAAATAAACAAACAAGGAACTAAACCATATAGGTTTGGCCTAATTATGAGATACACTGTTAATGGCCTAGAAAATTTGCTTACCACTTGACCAACAACTTCATCTATACCATCCTCAGCATCATCTTTAGCATTTACAGAAACATCATAATCATTTATAATTGGTGTAATTGAAGAAGGCTGTATGCCTGGTTTCTTTGTTTGCTCATTTTCAATAGCATTTGAAGGTCGAAGGAGGAAATTTGAAGAAGAAAATATGGCTGATGATTTCTTTGAAATAGATGACTCCTTTGATGTAGAAGGCGTTTGATTTTCATTGTTCAATATTGGAGTTGAACTTCCTACAGCAGCTGAGTTCCTTACTACTCTTGGTGTTTCTGAGCTCTTTTCATCTGATGCTAATGTAGATTTTGTTTCTGGACTAATCCAAATAAAATCATCATCTTTCATTGCTGCTGTTGAAGATACACTTTTGGTGATTGTTGCTGTTGCTGACAATGACTTTGGTTCTTCTGATTGGATTTCCCTTTCATTGACTGCCTTAGTTGCCTCTGAATTTCTACATGTTGAATGATTTTCTAGCACGTATTTGCTATTAGATACTGTAGAGATTATTTTATTTGGAATGTCTGGCTCAGAATTGTGAGCAGCTGGTGTAGATATTCTGCTTTCTTTTCTTGATATTTGCTCAGATTCCTTCATAGAATCACTTGTAGATGGCACAGATACACTATTTACTGCTTTCCTGGGTGGATAAACTTCATAAATTCTTTCTCTTGATTGTTCAGAGGTCTCAATAGATCCAGCTGATTCAACTGGTGTAGGTATCCTGTTGACTGCTTCTGAAGTTCTTTTTCTTGATAATTGATCAGAAGTCTCTGTAAAACTAGCTGGTTCAGCTGATGTAGATCTCCTGTTGACTGCTTCTGAAGTTCTTTTTCTTGATAATCGATCAGAAGTCTCTGTAAAACTAGCTGGTTCAGCTGATGTAGATCTCCTGTTGACTGCTTCTGAAGTTCTTTTTCTTGATAATTGATCAGAAGTCTCTGTAAAACTAGCTGGTTCAGCTGATGTAGATCTCCTGTTGACTGCTTCTGAAGTTTTTTTTCTTGATACTTGATCAGAAGTCTCTGTAAAACTAGCTGGTTCAGCTGATGTAGATCTCCTGTTGACTGCTTCTGAAGTTTTTTTTCTTGATACTTGATCAGAAGTCTCTATTGAACTAGCTGGTTCAGCTGATGTAGATCTCCTGTTGACTGCTTCTGAAGTTCTTTTTCTTGATAATTGATCAGAAGTCTCTGTAAAACTAGCTGGTTCAGCTGATGTAGATATCCTTTTTGCTGCTTCAGAACTCCCTTTCCCTGATAATGGATTAGAGGTCTCCTGAGAATTGAATGAAGAAATGGAGAATTCAAGATCCTCTGTGGTGCATTCCTCTGTGGTAGGTTGGCCAATTTGATTATTTCTTGCATCATTACAGACCACAAAAATCCAATCTGAATCTGAGTCATCTGTCTTACTATTAGTTTTATTTTTAGCACAAATTGTATCAGCATTTTTCAATCCAAAAGAAGAAAATAAATTTCTGATTTTTGAGGTGGTAGATGAGTGTTTCAGCAGCTTCTTGGTGTCATGGTCATGACTGGATGGTAATGATGGTGACCTTGGTCGAACAGTTTCACTGGTTGAGGGTAAACTTGGTATTGAAAGTGTCAGAGTTGGCATTGAGTCATTCTTATCCACAGCCTGTGTCTCTATGTTGGAAGTAAATGGTAAATGAGAGGTTGATAGAGATGGTTTATCTATAAAAGGTGATGATGATCCTCTGGAAGATTCTTCAATATTGAATGTAGAAGATACCTCAGTATATTCTCTGTGATTCTGATCACCAGACTGGGAGCTAGCTCCACTGGGTGATAGAAGTTGTTTGATTGGATTGCTTTCAGCACTGGATGCACCTAAAAAAAAAAATTATACTTAGATATCATATCATGAAATCTATCTAAATCAATAAATTTACATTTTCCAAATAGCCTACATTGCAAAATTCACAAATGGTATAATTTATAATGACATTACATTTCAAGGTAAGATCATACACTTTTAAGTTTCTGTAGCCTATCTTTTAGAAGACACTAAGTTTTGTTGTCTACAAAATAGCGTTCAAAAGATTTAAGATAAAGTAACACAAGGCTGAGATTTCAATACAAATGATCTCATTGATAACATATAAAATGTAAGAAATATACTGGTAGTAATTTTATTAATTGATTAAATTGGCTGATAAATCTTAATTCAATTTTATCGTAGAAATCTAATATCAAGCTCTACTGTAAGTCAACAAAATTGTATCATGTGGATGTTTAAACTTTTGTCATTTTTCATGCTTTCTAACTCTCTTGTGCTTAAAATATTTGTGCCCAAATGACTGCTCACCCGGACATCGGAGGAACGCTTTAACCAATGATTGTGCTTCCATAATAATTTGGTAAACTGCACTTTATAACATCAAACAATAAACTATTTTGACTTACCTAACTCTAGAAGTCTGTTCACACAATATTGTGAAATAATGCTTTCATCCTGGTCATAAAAAGGGATAGCTTTTTGTATCATATCAACAATAACTTGTAACAATAATGAAGTGGGAAGTTGGGGAAATATATTCTGTAGATAATTTAAAACTTTGGTTTTGACATCATTATTAGACATAGCTACATCATATAAAAATCATTTTTCTCTTTTCAAGAATTTTCTTATTTAACCAGTCTGCAACAAAAAAGATAGTGGACCACAGCCATATATACGCCGGCATGCGGATGTAAAATATTAAAGATTTTGGGGCAAGGGCAATAACTCTGCTTCTAATGGTCGAAAATAGCTAAAATTCGAACTTGATGTTCATTTTATGAATATGTATAATACACATACCGAATTTCATTCGATTCCATCAAAAACTCATAGAGAGATGTGGGCGTATAAAAATTAAAGGGAATGTAAAGAGATTTTCATGTTTATTGGGGACACTGATAGCATCCATTTGCTCCAATCTCCTTAGACAATTGGTAACAGTTGAAAATTCTATTTTAAATATTTGCAAAATGGCATGAGAGAAAAAATTCAACTCTAATCTCATTGTAGAGGCAGAATTAATGGAATAACAAGAACCACCTTCAGACAAAATTTGAATGGGGAAAATCAATTTTATCCCACATACATTGTTAAGCGAAAGAGTCAAACAATTTTTAAAAATCTTTAAAATAAAGCGGTCTGAGTCGCCTTTGACAGCCTGTTTGAATCTTTAAAAAGTTGTCTTTGAAATTTGGATAGATCCAGTTGTCTAAGGTCCAAGTTGTTTTGTATTCCTATCTGATGATACAGGATAGAGATGGGCTGCCGTAATTCGAAATGGATTTTCTATGGCAGACTACATAGCCTACACATTTTGATTTATAGAGATCAATTCTGAACAATAGAACTACACAAAAGTAAATGCATTCTCACTCTCTATTCAACAAAATGCAAGCTAGTCGGCCCGGCTACACTACGAAAGCCATTATTTGGAAAACAATTCTGGCAAACTAAGCTACACTACACATATTCTTTTTATTCAATAAAAATCTGTTACAAACACTAGTCCTAGAACGTCACATAACAATGATACTGAAATTAAAAGGCGGCTGCTTACAATATAGTCGTTGAATTCATACACTTGAGACAAAAGATTTAATAAAAAAAAGTGCGTTCTTACAACTTTTCATATTATTTCGTCATCTGTCATTAGAAAATGAAAGTGAAACTAGAAGATATTATCACTGATAGGTGTCGTTTCTTCACACGGAACACACCAGTACATGTTCCTATGTTGCCCCGAGTCAAGAGTCTTGTTCTCGATATTTCTGTGTACTCGCGTTAGCTTCTACATCATCGCATGTGTACATCCGGTTGAAAACCCACGACTGAAAACTTCCAGAAAATATTCGATATTTGGTTCTTTTCGACTGGAAAATCGAATTTGACGACATGTGGTCTTAGTAGATTGTTAAATCTATCGGTTCTACACGTAATCCGTTAGTATAAGTCAACATGGACTTCAACGAATTGATGAATTTGGCCACCCAAAATGAAAAAGGGTCGGATAAAAAGGTAAACAACATCTTGTGATTTTTCGTATTTGCCCACGGTAGACGTGGGTTTGAAAATATTGTTGAGAACAGAACTGTAAGATTTATGCCTCACAGGAAAGAACTATTTGAAAGTGGAATAGTTTAGTGATTGATGGGATCTGGTACATCATCACTGGCATTGTTTTAATGTTAAAAATACTCAGTCTCAGTCAGTTATAGACAGAAATTTGCTTATGTCCTGACCTTTTTCTAATGATTGAAACCAACATCCAACCAGAGCAGTGGAAAATGCTGGTTTATATGGGTTTGTCGGTATATTGTGTAATAATCTACTCAAACAGATTTAAATCCCAATTTATATGTGCGTAGTACAAATACAAAAGCCTATGTAAATGTCAAAAACAGATTAAAGATCAAATCAAACAATAGAAATTGATTTTCTTAACTCAAATGAGTTATCGTTTATTTTGATAATTTCTCAAGGAATATGTCATCATTACCTTCAACTTCAACAGATTAACCGTCAACAGATTACTGCTAAAAAATAGCTTATAGAGTTGCTGGTTCAGAGAGGTCAATTAACTACCAATATAAATTATCCTTTGATAAACACTTGTTGGATTGCAGTATGAATGAGCATGTTTTATGATGATATTAACAATGGCAGAAACAAACTCAATTCTGAGATCAGTGTGATCAAGAATAGATCCCTGTTCCAAAGGACATTTCAAAGCTCAGTTTAGGTTTTATTCAAGGCCCTAATAAAAAAGACACATTATTGTAGGCTACTTATTGGAAAAGGGCTATATTTCGTTCAACATGAATTGTCTTCGAAGCTTTCATTTATGAAATATTTTATAAGAATTAATGGTTTATTCCTTTTGCACCATAAACCATTACTTATCAATTTTTCAATTTCAGAAAGGGTATGCATTTAACATATCAGCTCCGAAAAAAGAAAATAAGCAAAAACCAAAATCTGATGTGGTTCAAAAGTTAATAGCAGAAAAAGAAAGAGAGAAAAGGAAAGGTATGATTAAGGATTTTTGAATTAATTCTCTTGAGAATGACTGAGAAGTAATCATAGAATTTTTTGAGCATTAAGGAGGCCTTCCTTTAGTTGTCAGTCATCAGAGCAAGTCTACCATTAACACAATTTTAATGCAAAAAATGTTATGCTTTCAGTGCTGGAAAAAAGAGAACTGAAAAGAATTGAAGATGAAAAAAAGAAAATCTTCAGAATTCCAAAAGCTGGTTCTCCATCGACTGCGGAAGGTGCAGGAAAGCAAAAACATCATAACAAGACTAAACCACAATCAGGAAGCAGTTCTTCCACAGACTCAAAACCAAAGATGCCAGAAAAGCCCAAACTGAAACTCGAAGAAGCTGTCTTTCAGGATCTCCAATCTAGGAATGAATTTTATAATCAGAAAGATCGTGCTAGGATTAACTTTGATGGATCTTTTGCTGTTGTAAGAATAGCCCATAAGCAAAAGGAAGGAGTACCACTTCCAAAACGTCCTGTTGTCACTCCTGTTAAAGAAACCCCCAAATTTAATGTGGCTTTAGTCAAAAAGTCAGATGTAGTGGACAGTGACAATTCCAATATGAATTCACATAGAGCATCAAAACCTAAAGAGGATGTCTCAGAAAGTGTAAAAAAACTGAAAGAAAAATATGGCGTTGATCCAGATGGAGTAAAAAAATCTACTACACGCAGAGACAATAAGCTAAAAGAAATTGCAAAATATCAAGAAAAAGTGAAAATGAGAGAAAAGCTTAAAATGAATGCTAAGAAAGATCCAAAACCATTCCAGCCAAAGCCCAAAATAATTAAAAGAGCCAACAACAGTGCCCCACCTCCTATGAACTTTGCCGATTTATTAAAATTGGCTGAAAATAAGGCTAAAGAACCGGTCATGGTTGATCCAATAGTCAAAAAGCCCAAAAAAAAGGTTGCAGAAGAAAGACCTATGACTCGTGAAGAAAGAGAATGGGCTGAGAAGAAACAGGATTGGGATGATCGTAAGAAATCCAAAGAGTACCAAGAACGGTTAGGAAAAGATCTACCTCCTATTAGACCTTCGAAATCATCTGATAACTCACATAAATCTGGACCAAAAGACTCACCAATCTCTAATAGGAATAATAATAATAGTGTTAAAAACAAAGACTTGAATTCTAGTTATAATAAGCCTAGTCACAATACGCCTTATAAAGAGCACTCAGATCGCAGGCCATCTTCAACCTGTTCTCCAGCATTTAACGGCAACCGACCCACTAAAACTAATCCAGGTTCAAATAAATCTTCCTCATCTAAAGATCAGAGGGGGTTTGAACAACAACATAAAAGAGATCACAGAGGGTACGAACAGAATCGTAACAGAGAAAAGGACCACAGGAGATATGAACAGGATCGTAACAGAGGAAGGGAACAGAGGGGACAAGAACAGGATCATAGCAGAGGAAGAGATCAGAGGGGATATGAACAGGATCGTAACAGGCAAAGGGATCAAAGAGGATATGAACAGGATCGTAACAGACAAAGGGATCAAAGAGAATATGAACAGGATAGCAACAGAGAAAGGGACCGGAGGGTATATGAACAGGATCGTAATAGAGAAAGAGCTCCACCTAGCTCTGCACCTAATAAAATTAATCGCACACCTCAACCTTTGAAACGCAAATCCGATCAACCAAGTGAAAATTTACGTGACAATGGTCCATCACAACCTAAAAAGAAAGCATTACCTCCACCAGAAGAACCAACCAATCCCTGGGACAGAATTTATGGCAGTATACAGAAAAATAGACCGAAAAAACCTGGTAAGTTTTCTTGGTGATCAGAGCATCAAACATTGCTGGTGTTGGAAGAAGGAACCCACAGGAACTCATCTTCATTGTAATCTAAGATGTTTTCTACCACAGTGGATAATTTGTAACTAATAATTGTAATATTTGACAACTATTTGTCATTAGAACACAACACAAGTAGAAAATTTGTGAGAATAAATTGAAACAAAAACTATAAAAAAAATTTGTTTATTTTGATCAGATTACGCTCACTTTGGTTGAAGATGACCATCTCTTTAACAATTAATCAAAAACTTTTGTCATGTAGCCAAGTAATGTTTTTGATTGTAGTGATGAAAAAGAAAATGGTGATAGATTCTGAAGATGAATATGATAGTGAATTAGATGATTTTATTGATGATGGTGAAGATGAAACAGCTGATTATTCTAGTGCTATTAGACAAATATTTGGCTATGATAAACGAAGGTATGATTGATTCTAGTGCTATCAGACAAATATTTGGCTATGATAAATGCAGGTATGATTGATTCTAGTGCTATTAGACAAATATTTGGCTGTGATAAACAAAGGTGTGATTAATCTAGCGCTATTAGAAAATATTTGGCTGTGGTAAATAATGGTATGAATAACCTAGTGCTATTAGACAATTATTTGGTTTTGACAAATGCGGGTATTATCATGTTAGTGCTATTAGACAAATATTAGACCTTGATAAGATTATGATTATGCTAGTGCTAATAGACAGCTCCTTATTTGTAGATCATGAACTTTTGCTAAATTCTAATTATGAATTTTAGATTCCGAGATGAAGATGATGATATTGATAATATGGAGAGTAATTTTGCATCTTGTATGAAAGAAGAAGCCAGAAGGTATAATAAGCTTTTTTCCCCCATATCTACCTCTTTTTTTTAAAGCAATTTTGAGAGTATGCCTACATCCATGACAATAGGTAACTAAGAATTTCATGGTTTTTAGTGTATGAAATTTTAAAAAATCTATAAAGCAAGACTTAGATAAAAAAAAATCTTTACAAGCAAAACAATTCTTTTAACAATAGTATAGTAGTGGATTCCTCAAATGAGGGTTATCTTTATGTGTTTCTACAAGAGTAAGCATGGTCTACTTCACCCACCACTACTATATAGGCATGAGATACCACTAGATGAATTTATGTTCTCGTAGGTACGATTCAAAAGATAAACCCAAGTGTAAATTACTATTTGGATGTCTGTGTCTAGACCTTTTGCCCTCATTCCACTCAAAATGAAAGGTTAATGCAATGATTTATATTGATTTTTTAACACCTTGTTAGGATTTATTTTAAGTTGAGTATCAGCATGTATTGATTGTGTGTTTTTCTATATTTTTGATATTTTTAGTGCTAGACTTGGTTTAAAAGAAGATTTAGAAGATATAAGAAGAGAACAGGAAGAAGAAAGATTAAAAGCCTTAAGAAAAAAGAAAATGAAGAATAGATGACAGTCTTAATCTTAGGTTAATTTCTTTTGTCTATCCATTACTTTATCTCAAGTTTTTTTTCTTTACGAGGTTCATCTTTAAGAGGATGAAAGCCTTCTGTAAACTGACAGCAGATTTTTTTCAAGCAGTCCCTTATACTAACATACTAACATGCAAATATTACTGTTAAAGGAACAGGTTCGCATCGGTTTGATCAAGCGTACCTTAGTCTCAGAAACAGGAATTGTTTATGCAAGCTATTCAGTAAAATTTGGAACTTCAAATCCATGTGTGTCCAGAATTATTGGTGTTTCTTGAGACTTTACCCTATATATATATAGTAAAGACATATAGAAATATAGAAATTAAAAGAGAAATTCCTGGTTTGAGATGGTTTCTAGTATTTCTGAAGACTATTTACATATATTCAACACTCAAATCAAGACCAAATATGGTGCAATTGTCCAATGGAAATTTATAGACTGATTCTGTTCATTAATTTCTACAGAAAAATACTGGTGAACTGCCACAGTGTTTCAATGAATAACATACTGTGACTGAAACATAGACGCAAGAATGAAATGAATATAACAAATTATGAAATATAGCCTTAATGATATTACTGCATATTATATTATACTGCCTCAGTATATCTTATTTTAATTGATATACTGACATTGTATAATTTCAATGCATGATTATTTTATATTTATTGAAGTCTTTCAATTCATAGCTTGATTCAAAAGAATCTGTTTAAATAGTAAATATGAAGCCCAATTCTGTGTTGCCATATTGGGCTTGTATGAAAAATGAAATTTTTGTCACAAATTTCTGTTTTTAAAGAGATTGTAAAGGGTTTTTCTAAATCTTTTGTGTAACCGTGACACTGATAGTGTCAATTTGCACCATTCCAGTTTTCATTCAGACGTCTGTCGTTTCTGCAATTTTTATTGAACAAGTCCTTTTAAACTAATAGATAACTGAAGGAAAGTGTTCCTTAAAACATGTTTCAAACAAATCTGAAACCGAAATCAAGAACTGTTATTGAAAAAACAGAATTAAAGGGTATGTAAGGAAGCTTTCGAAATTTTTATGTGTATCAGGGACACTTATAGCATCAATTTGCACCATTACAATTTACAATCTGATGTTTGTGGTTTCTGTAATTCCACTGTAACTACGTGTTTGATGACCTATGAGATAAAGTATATTTGGTGATTAGTGACCAAACTCTTTAGTTTTAGTGGAATTACAGGAACCACAGATGTCTGATTGTAAATTGGAATGTCTCCAATAAACATAAAAATTCAGAAATCTATTTAAAATCTCTTTGAGCTTTATATTTCCTGATGAAATGTTGATATTACTGTATAATGGTTTATATAATATATTGAAGTACATTAATTATGTGATAAAAAGAGTAACAGATGTTTAATTGAATGTAATGAATGTATGGCTTCAATGTTGAATGGTTTATCTCTTAGATTATTTGGAAATTATAGATACAAATATTAATTAAACTGAAATACAGAGAAATTTTCATCAGTCATTTTGATTATTAAGCTTGAAAATTATAGAATTACATTGAAAACCTGTATGTTATCTGTATAAAGTTGACTGAAGATCATATAGTGTGAAACTCTGAGTAATAACAGGTTCTGTTTTTATATTTAAAAAGGTTTAATTTTAATTCTTACTTGAAAATACTCCTTAATATGAATAAGCTACTGCTCACCTTATGTAACTAACATGTACTTAAGAAAAACAGAAAAAAACACGAAGGATATAAACCTGAATGTCAAGTATGTACCTGAATTTACACTCTAGTCACAATATCTAGGTATTTTGTTTCTTTTAACATTCTTTACTAGGTTTTGAATGTTCTATTGTTAAGACACAAAATATGCTTCCAAGTTTTTTATTCTTACAAAAGTGCTGAAATTTCAAGCATAATATTGACATGGCATCACATTTATCTAATTCATTAAACTAAAGTTTAATTAGAAATATGAATGTGTTAGATACATGCTTGTCAGAATTTACACGAATTTATCCATTGAAAATTATAAATTCACTCACTATTGCAAACACCCTTTGGCCATGTTCAAGAAAATCAGAATTGTGAAAATAGAAGTTTGAAATGTCCATGATAAATATGTATTTTCTTTTTTGGAATCAATTCAGTAGATCCAATGAATTTGATGATTTAAATTGCAATATGTTATTTGTGATACCTCAGATATGGGTTTGATACTGAAGAATTATCTATTTTAAACAATACTGTTGATATAACATTAATTCATGTAGTTGTGCTGATATTTATCATTAAGACCTTCTTTTAATGTAGAAGTTATGTAATATACCTGCTTGAGGCCGAACAGTCATCCTTTCATCAGGCAAACAGAACATTAAATTAATGATAAGATAACTCTATTCTAGATAGTTGGCTATCAACAATATTGCCTAGGATTTCTTTTCTACGCATATTCATTATTCACAGATAGATACCTTAGTGAATTAGTATTTGCCCAACCAAGTGATATAATGCTCTATATTTTGTATGGATGTTTTGTTGATTTGTATTAATATATTTGGGAATGTTTACTATAAGCATCAATTGATTGTTTCATATATCATGTTATTTATTAAATGGAATTGAATTTGTGATTAGATCATACCAATTTTTCATTGTATTTATTTATGTATTGTATGTTGCATTTGAACATGTCATTATTATTATTAAGTCTATAGGTGTAACTGTCATGAATTCCTCTATCAAATCTTCAACTAGCAAAGTTAAAGCACAGAATTGTACAGCTACAACTACTACTTACAGACCTGTCAAATCTAGCCCCCATTCCTAAAAATATCTTATGATCAATTTTGTTCATTGTAAAATTCCACACTTCAGAAAATGTAAGTGTTTTAAGCTGCTATTGGCACATTACATTACTTCCTAGTTGTGCTGGCAGAATATATTGGTGAATCAATGTATTGTCATACAACATGCCACTATGTGTATCATATCATGAGGCAATACTTGAAGGTACCTCTCATTCCATTAACAGTAGGGATTTTTAAGAGGAATCACAAATTTTTGTCACTGACTTGAATGATATTGTTGGAAACTATTGATAAGACAGTGGATGTTAAGAGGATCAAGTGTTTAATTTTATCCCATTATCCCATATCGTGGACTGGTTTGTAATAGCCAGCACTACTTCCTAAGAGTAAGATAGTGTCATATTGCATATAACTTATGTAATTATTGCATGTATGTATGTATGGCTTTTAGTAATTATATACTATAACATGTGAATAATATTTAAATCTTATTTTATTGGAATGGGGTTTTACCCACTATATTTTATGCTGGATATATTTTTCTTGTTGATAAAATGATGTTTTTGTTATCAAGACTTTTTTTTATTAATTGTTTATATCCCCATTCAACAAACTATGGTTTGAAATATGTTCTGACCTGGTAAAAAGCATGAGATAAGCTTCAGCGGAAATTGGGTTGAAAAATCTGAAGGTTTTATCTTTAACTGAGAATCAATCATGCATTCTTTCCAAGGGCTTGGTTTTGTTGTCCCATTAAACACATTCCCCAGTCAGCAACTTTGATTTGCTGCATTGAAAGTCTGAAATATTCAAATGCTAACACAATATTGCTTTGATCTATCTCTGTAATAAGTGGGCGATGAGATATTACAAAATTAAAACTAGGAAATTTGACTAACATTTTTATATCCTCAACTTATCTTCATTAAGAGATAAATTTGTTTAATATTATAATAACAAGCACAACAATATATATACATTTCACATTGTCAATAATAATAATAATAATAATAATTGGCACATTAAACCATGTACTACTTAATAGAACTAGATTCTTAACTGAGGCAAAAAAGGAAAAAAAATGATAATGAAGAGAATTTTTTCTAGCATAGAGCTCATTCTAAAAAGTGAAATTTTCTTTGTATTAAGCAAAATATTAGAAATTATCAAGAATTTAAAGTCCACCAATCCTTTATAAAACCCAGGAAGATGAATTGTTTGACAATCAATTTTCAAAAACTTAGTCTTTTCCAGATTCCATGATTTTTCAGGGGATCCAAGCTTCCAAGATTGCCCTATACCCGATGGAGACAATTCGCTACTTCCATTTTCCACTTTATCGATAATCCTACGCCCTACGTTGTCTTTCTTTGGATCAATTTTTTAGCTCTCAAAATAAAGTCCTGTTTTCTTTACTTCCTGCTCAAACCCACTTTCACTTTCTGTATAATGGTGAAAATAGTGTACAATTAAAGATAAATTAACATATAAAAAGAGAAAATTGGAGGTAATGTGGGCACATTCCTCTTCTCCTACTGTCTACAGTATGGATAAACTTGCCATGATAATCCTGCAATGGCCTGAGTAACTTTCCTATCATTTCTTCTGAACTCAAGTATACACCTGCAATCTGCAACAAATGATCATCTGTCATACAAGATCCATTCTTGGTCAAAGTTTTGGAATTTTACAAGAAATAAATAAAAGAAATGAATTAACTGTTTTAACTTTAAGTCTGGTAATTACAAACTGAAATAGACCCAAACACCTCTATACCAACTTCTGATAGGGAACTTCGCCCAGTTTGTGGAAATTTGTTTGCAGGGGTTTTAAACTTTTTTATTTAAACCAGATCCAGATATATTCTGACAGATGGATTTCAGTCAAAGCATGATAACTCCACTACACCAATTATATCACTTCTGCCATTCCATCAAATTTTTTTACAACGAAAATGATTTCTCGTAGGCCATGCATTCACAGCCGAAAGTGTCACTGAGTTACGTGATACTAAGAAAATGAAAATTACGGTAATTTGAAGTCATCGTAATTGACATTATGATAGAAAAAAATGCATATTCAAAGGTTTAAAAAATTCCCATAAAAGAGGATCTAGTTTTTCTGACTGAATAACTGTCAAAATATCTATGAAAGGCTGGAATAGAGGCAGATGTTTCGGACAAAGACTGGAAGTATTTAACAATGCAGGAATTATTTCACTGAAAACATTTTTCACAGACCAAATTCGAACATTCAGATAATATATTCTTTATACATATCCGATCAAATTTTGTTCTGGCAACATTTTTTTTCTATTCAACAATAATTCTTTGTTACCTTCAAACACCTGAGAAAAACAAATATCCTAAACTAAGCTGAAACAAAACTTTTATAAATAATTCAAGATCCCAATAAATCAACTTAACTGATTTAAAATACTAAAATTAAAATATAGAGACAGAATAATAGCTCAAGACCAAATTGTTTTAAGATTGAATTAATGAGTTATCTCCCTTCTATAAGGTAAGTCAAAATAATTTACTGGTATACCATCAGCCATATTTACTAATAATCATAATAAAATCTGAACATAACAAGCTTCTTGAATATTTCAGATTCTTAGCAATTAACAGAAATTCCAAACTTCAAATCTGTTTTTTTTCTGTGAGAATTTCAATATTAAACGTAGATGTAAAACTTTTGAAATGATCATTTTAAAATGCACAATTCATTATGTCATTATTTCGTTACGTTGAAGATATTTGTTATGCTATTGGAAATAGTCTGAACAGACAGAATCAGCTATAAAATACAAATGCACATTCACAGATAATAGTTGAGACTATTTTAAGCAGAACTTTATTGATCCTTCCTACTTAAACTACCTCAAAATAGATTGTACTGTCCTGATTATGTTTTGAATATTTGTGTATACACGTAATTTTCAGCACCATTTTGAGTTTTCTATTGACTAGTTTAAAATTATATCTATCTATGAGCACATTGGGAAGGATTTCATATACACTGAGATAAATTGCGTACAAATAAAAGTAAAGGCCAAAATAAGCAAGAACTTAAACATCAAATAAGGTTTTCCTCGAATATCAAAGAATAACTTTAGCAACTAATTTATTGCTGTGCATATAATTATTACTTAAATTACAGCAAAAACATCTTGAAATAAAAATTAATCTTTTTTAACTCAAATACACTTCAATTCTGTGGGTAGATAGAACTCATTAACAGCTTTCAAGAAGTAAAATTCCTTATCTATGTAACATCACAATAATGTTGGGAGTAGTGATGTCATAGATCTAATGATAGAAACACAGACCTCTATACTGATATTTATCTCTTTGTGAAACATTCACACTAAGAAACAAAAGATGGAAGTCATCTAACAGATATATTTATATATAGGTGTATACATATTTGCTTAATTTCAGCTATCTGTATTCCTTTTCAAAAACAAAGATTCAACAAATGGTTCTCCTACAAAAGCAGTCCAGCTTGATTAATGAATGTTCGTTGACACTCACATATGCAGATTTTGAAATCATTTTATGTATCTGAAGTTATGTTTCATTAAATTGTAGTTGAACCAGATGTCAAATATGCATTCTAAAAGGTGACACATTTAGCTGAAAGATTTTACGAAATCACCTTAACTTACAATAAAAGGAATTATTAAAAAGATCATATTGCAAATTCTGATACATTTTCTAAGTTTTTTTTCAACAGATAAATTGTAATTTCAACTTTTACAACTCAAAAATATGCAAAAAATGTTGTGAAGACTAGACCAAAGTTGTTAACATTTTGTAATAACAAATAATTCATAATAACAAATATTAAAGGAAAACATTAAAGTAGAAATTTCTATTTTATTTTCAATTTTGTTAACCACATTGCACAATCTTATCTCCTAAAAGCACATTTTCTTAACAACAAAAGGATCAATGATATGTCAAAAATCAAAGTATAAACATTTAAATATATCTCTTTAAGAAAACCAAAACAAAAAACATTTATTTTTGGGACACCTATTTAACCGGTTTCATATTTTTCTCTAGATCTAATACACAAAAAAGTATTTTTTGAGATTCATAACCTTTTTTTTTTTTTCAAAATATGAGAATTTGGAAGTATTTCAACTAATAATGCTACTTAAGCCAGATGCAATAATAACTACAAGCAGAGCAAGACCAAAAGCTAAGCTTCATACAAAACTTCAGCCAAGAACTTTTATCAGGCATGGAAAACATTTCTTTACTCATAACAGTATATATGCATAGCTATCTGAGCATATGCCAAATCCCCTCAATGACCAATAAAGACTGGGCATAGACTTATGTAACTTTTCATATTCACCACTTCAAAGCATACAAAGCAAGTGTTTATTTCAAGAGATAACCAGAATCAATCAAAAACATGTCATAACTATAATGCTATAGGTGGTTAGACACAAATATGAGTTACTTCTTATTTTACCCCTGAAAAAGTAGACTGTTCCAGTTGATTTGTTTGGGCTATATGAATCTATTTGTTTTATGCATGTGAGGAAGATTCCAAAATTGGTTTAAGGTATGACAAGCATGCTATACCCAGTCTATATTAATGTCATTTCATAGGAGAATCCTAAATTTTCCTTCTTCTAACAAACTTCCACTGCCTAACACACAGTACTGGAAGCTTTGAATAAGGAATAATTATATAAAATTCAAAGGAGGTAATATAAATTAAGGAAAGAGATAGAACCGGTAAGGAAACCGATAGAGTGAAGAAAACCAATAGAACCACTAAAGGAAACTGATAGAACCAGTTAAAACCAGCTAATGATTACCAGAAGATAGAACTGGTTAAGGATAAAACATTATCATATTTTTACAATAAACCACTTGTGGTTAAGGCGGTGAATCTATTTATAGAATTGTGCTGGAAAATATTCAAAGTATTGTCACAACAATATTTCTACCAAGGATGCTTATTCTTACTGAACAGCCTTTCCTTATGTCACAACCATCTTCGCAGGTATCCCTGAAGATCTTCATGATATAGCTTCAAAATCGAACAAACCAGAGTTCCGAACTCTATATCACTTCCGAACTACCACACACTTCGAAATTAGGTGAAATTATATTTCTGAAGATCTACTTGTCACTGAATTGTTGTAAACCATCAATATGTGATAATGATGTCACAGATAACAAATTGTCATGTTGTAGGGAATCACAGTGATGGTGTTGTTATCACAATTACCATGACAACTATGTTTCCAAGGCAATTACAAACCTTATTTGAAAGACGTGTGGGAATTATAAGGGCTATGAACTAGTAGTGGTGTTGGGTTGACATGAGTTTTCTTTATTTTCCGAGTCCTCCAATTCAGACATGCCGTTTTTCTCTTCCTCCTTCCGCTTCTTATGTTCATTTAGCGATTTTATTAAAGCTTGCACTAAATCCTGCATAATGTCTGCGTCCTTTTCCTCCAAGAGTTCAAAGGTCATATTAAACACCATAAAGTGAGTGAAGAGACTATTTAAGTGTCCATGAATTCCCAACTGAATAGCTTCCTTATAATGTGCATGAAAGATATGTGCTAAAACTTGAAATAAACATTTATGGATTTTCTTTACTATGGTTTCAAACGAACTTGGGAAGACTTCACCTGAAAAAGACAAAAATACAATTTAATTAGACAAGTTTTAATGTAATTAGCTAAAGTATTAAATAAGGGGGGAGGGTGTAGCTCAAGGAGTTAGGATACATATCTATATGAAATAGATGATTCCATTAAATATCCTTGATCATCCAAATAAAGAAATATGGCAAAGCCAGACATACTGGGAGAGAATAAACATTTTCTGCCTCGTCAATATGTCATTTGCTTGGTTACATTTGTTTGATGGAAGCTTTGAGTTATGTTCTCATAAGTTCAAGTCAACCTTGCAGTCAAAGGCAAAGTTCCATGCCATAGTTTTACAGGTAAATAGGATTCATGGAACAATTAAATGGGAATTTTTTTAAAACAGCATTGACAAAAATAAATAAACCTCTATTAATAGCTCTATAAATATCAATCAGGAAGTATCAATATTTATAGGAATTGACAATAGAGTAGTTATTGTGTTAAGATTTAAATAATAGTTCAATATGAAAGTTTAAGGATCTGTTTACAATAAGTATATTTATCTAACTGGGGTTTGTATAAGTATATAATACAATATTAATACAGTAAGCTATATAATATAGTAATGAAAGAGCTCTGAGTGAATAAATTAAATCAAATGTAGTATCACTTGACACCTCTAATATTAACTTAAAACTCCTTTTATTGACATAATACATACATAGTCATGTTCACACATTTATACCGTTAAGTAGTCTCAAAAGCTGCTTGGCTTAGTAATTTTCAGTCTACAAATTTCCTGTTTATCAAAGAAACTCAAAATGTTGTATGAAAAATGTGCTCTTGTGATCTATACAAAGCCTTTGATATGTTAGATCTCTGCAGAAACTAATCAAAAACAGTATTTAATTCACAGGTTAAGAAATATATTTTTTCCAATACAACTACTTTTATCAGTTTAAAGTGGGCAGCTTTGCCATTTCAACTTTTCAAATGCTAATAATACTGGACACACATGGAGTTGATGGCTCAAATTTTGACGGTGAGCAGTGAACACCGTGATAAACTGCGCTAAAATATTTCCCTTTTTGCGACTAACATACAATTGGTCAAACGGATGGCGAAACTGTCCCTTTAATGTTCTAATGTAAAATGTGTCAATATTTATCAAGGGAGGTGTAAATAATTGTAATATTTCACATAAATCTATATTCATCAGCACTAAAAATGGAGGTTTTAGTCAGAAAGATATATTTAGAACACACAATGATCTAATAAAAGAAGATGATGTTCTATATCCACACCTACATTCTATACTTTGATGGTTATAAACCTGTTTTTGTATGTGTCCTAAAATGATATTTTGCTTGAAAATGAGGTTCCCAAATATTGAAAGTGAAACTAGGATTGGGTATCAGGCAAGGTCTTGGGTATGGAGTACAAAATTCTGCAAATAATTCCCAGAGTACTCAGTGTGTACTCAGAGTTAGCCGTGGATAATGTAGCCATATGAGATGTTATATATAATGTTGTTGGATAGTTCTTCATAGCCTGTGACACATCAAATGTCCCCAAAGAAAAGTACAGATTTCCCCACATGGGAACATGTCCCTGTGGTTAAAAACCTAAGGCATTCTATCAGAGACAAACAGGCTCAAACCACTACAAAACAAACAAAAGGATATTCTGACTTAATTCCCTGATTTTTCAATTACAATTTTATTTGCAAAAGTCAACAAAGTCAAGCTTATTCTCTGCTTAAACCTAATCTGTAATCAATGGACAATATTATTTTCATCTAAATAGTCAATAAAATCTGCTTCTGCACAAAAAGTAGGCTACATATTTGTTTTTCTTGTGGCATTCTCAAGTCCTTTTATCAAGGCCTTACATCAATATGATAGCTTATTGAGATTATATATAATGTATGGGTGATCATAAAGATGATTATAATATTAAACAGATCAATGGGAATGAAATGATCAAGTTACACGATGCATCTGTGTTTGATACATGATATATGCTTATAAAACCACAGGTGGATCTTCGTAAGATACCACGTATTGTCATGACAGCATATCAACTGCCACCTGTATGGTAACTGATTATAGATCGAGGAAATGTGATTATATGCAGATTTTAAACCCCTTTTACATTACAAAATTAATTCCATTTTTAGAACGGAATGGAACAAATGAATTGTGTAATGTAAGCAGTTGAGAGTTCTGAGAACAATTCCAATTCTGGTCTATCATGAGGAGGTGGTCTCAGACTTGATAGATTGGTGTAATGTAAACGGTTGAGAGTTCTGAGAACCATTCCAATTCTGGTCTATCATGAGGAGGTGGTCTCAGACTTGATAGATTGGTGTAATGTAAACGGTTGAGAGTTCTGAGAACAATTCCAATTCTGGTCTATCATGAGGAGGTGGTCTCAGACTTGATAGATTGGTGTAATGTAAACGGTTGAGAGTTCTGAGAACCATTCCAATTCTGGTCTATCAAGAGGAGGTGGTCTCGGACTTGATAGATTGGTGTAATGTAAACATTAACCTTCTGAGAAAGCTTTACTGTTCGACCGAGAACGGAGCGCTTTATAGCGGCCTAGTGTAAAAGGGGCTATAGGACTCATTGTTTTTTGCTAGTTACTTGAACCATCCATAATCTAATGAAATTGCTCATTAAATCAAATTTTTGTATAATTGAACAATAAGCTTACAAGCGAGAAATTTTAAGTTGTCATTGAACAGAGGATTTGATTGGTAATATATTTCTTCAGATCATGGATGGCAAAAGTAGTCACTCACAGAAAAAACACTAAACAAAACATTTAGATAATCAGATAATCAAGGAGAAATAGACTAACAGAGAGTAACTCAGTGAGTTTAAATTCTACATTTGTATAAGGTAATTAACTGTCAAATCTGTCACAATGTAGCCAGAAGAACCTAAATCAAACAACATTCACCTGATTAGACCAACAGGTAAATGAACATGTCAGTGAACTGGAGTTTAGGTAAATCCCTCGTTTAACAAAACATATAGTCAATACAATAAGAAAATATTGAAGAAGGTCACATGGCGGTCATGATAGTATTAAGAGTAAAATTATTCAAATCTTTCCATGTCTGACGCTAAAATAATATTTTCATTAAAGTAAGGTCACAAAATGTTGTCAATTTAGGTTTGTTTGATATGATCTTTAAACTACACTAAATGTAACAAGTGTTGTCAGGTAGGCTGAGCTTGCTTACTCTTCTGGAATACCATTTTGAATTTTATCTCGTTTAAATCCACAATATTAATTCAATTTATATATTATTAATACTCTTAGGGTTGTGACTAAATTGAGAAAAAGGATTTCATTCATCCATAACACCTGACACCACTATCAGACTAGGGCTGTCAACTATGCATCTCTTTCTGAGATGCCACATTTTGATATATCAATTATACTGGTTACTAATCTGCACCTTTTTTAGAGTTCTTTTCTTATCTTTAAACTTTAGTAAGATAAGAAAGAATGCTTGAATGTCATTTTAGGTTCATTAAGTTCATTTGCTATCTTGATAATAAAATATTTAAAAGTAAGTTAGAAAAGAGAATGGATACTATGTTCTGCTCTACATTCTACTTACCAAATTTTGTAGGAAAGACAGTTTCATCGGTAATAGTTTTCTGGATATAGGACATGACATAATCTATATATTGAGAGGCTGCATATTTATATTTCTTCCCTTTATCATCATACCAATAATATTGCCTACAAATATACAAGATAAAATATGGATTACTAAATGCTCTGTATAGTAAATAAAGTGTCTGTTGTTAAACATAGATTTGCATGCCCAATTTTAAAGATGTTTTTGGCTGTTTAGCAATTACAGATTTTGATGAAATCAGGACAAGGTTCAACTGAGCAACATTTATAAAAGAAAAATTTCGGAGAGATTGTGGATGATGGAACACAAAAAAAAAAAAGAAATAAAAGCATCTTAATAAGATTGTACTGAAACCACAGTAGTATTCTAAAAGTATGAATGGATACATCTAACACACACAAATTTATCCACTCTTCATCCCTTTTATTCTTTAGATAGGCACTAAATGTTTAAAGGCTTCATTTATATTGCCTGGTGCGGTGTACATGTCTGCTGGCTTGTATGTGAGGATACTGAGATATATGGCATATTAAACCGGCCAGAAAAGAACACGTTAGAGCAATATCTAGAGCTGTACTTTATTTACTTTCATTTTCCTACATGAATCATTGAATAAGACAGAATAATTGTCTCGTAACTTGATTATATGATTCATTCACTGCTCCATACTTCTTTTCTATTTCTACACTTTCATTGAAAGCTTTCAAAATAATGATTTATAGTGACTATTAAATAATGCTTGGTGCACACGAGAAACAGTGAGTAACCTAATTCTATGAAAAAGCATTCATCCTTGCCTTCATCTCGCATTCTCTTTTGTCATAAATCAAAAAGTATGAAAAATTCAATATCTTTATGTTTTTGTATGATCTAAGCCTAAGAAAGTGAAACCAAATAAAGTCTTGCATGCATCAAATTGGGACTGACCATTTTACCATTTCTAACTTTCAAGGATCAGACAGTGCCCTCAATCTACAAATCAGTTTGTTTGATCGATATCATTAACAAAGAAAGTGAAGGTGAAAAATAACCATGGAGTAATAACAGACTAAAGGTTTTCATCAAAACTCGAATTCTTGCTCACAACTATTAGAAACTTCAGATTGTTCATAACATTAAGTTCAGCTTAAATATTGCCTTCAAACTTACATTTTGTTAAGAGAAAGTCTCAAAGCTGAAATTGCTTGAATGACTAGCAAAACAGATAAAGAATCCAACAAAGGATGTTTAAAAGCAGTAACCACTTATTTAATAAAACGTCCTGTTTTCAGACTATCTTTATGACTTCAGAATATAAAATTATAAGTAAATAATATCTTTGTTCTATGAATTAAGGCAGTACTATTGATTTTTTCTGATGATGTGTTTTATAAAGGTTCTATTGTTATACAACTAATGTGTAATGTTACTAATGTCTTATTTGACATGAAAAGGTGCTTCATTTTATTGATTTTATAGGTTTCTCCGTCCTGATTAGTTCATAGTGGTTTTATTTTCATAATCTCAGACTGAAACTTTTCATAAGTTATTTCATTGGTTAAATATATCAATATACAAAAAATCATCGTACCGGTATTAACAATTCCTTCAGATCATGGATGGCATAAATAGTCACCCACAGAAAAAACAATAAACAAAACATTTAGATAATCTGTATTTTAATCAGATAATCAAGGAGATATAGACTAACAGAGAGAAACTCAGTGTGTTTGAGGCTTAATTGAGGCTAGGGTATTGGTAAAGCAGTATTATACTAGTAGTTGAAGTTGGTAAGATGGCAGAGGAACAGATATAGCCCAATTTTGTTTCTGGTTAGTCGATCAAACCATCAGTTAAGGCTAGCCCCTCAACAAACTTCAGGTAACTCAGTCAATGAAAATTGTGTGTAAAGATAAAAAATGTTTGAAATTCACTACAACCAAAATGTTTATGATTGTACCTTGCTCTACTTTTATATATCACTCAGTGGTTGAACAGCTCTTGGTATTTGATAAACATAAAACATTTCCCAGTATCAAAGGCAAATGAAACATACTTCCATTCATATCATAATTATGTTTTTCTAGACATGAAATACATGCTACTTACACATTGCCCGGAGCTGTCATGGCAGGACAAACTTCTGTAGTACAGTATTCAGATACTACACCATACATTAAATTAACATGGTCAAAAAATGCTATTGCTGAAATAGATAATGGAAAATATAATAATAATGAAATCATATTTTTCAGAAAAGTCTCTTTGAAAGATCACTGAGTCTGACTCATATAAGACACATCAAGCAAAACAGAGAACTGAAAAAAACCATCAAGAGTTTATCTCTTTAAAAATGTCTTGATTCAGATTCATGTAAAAGTTACATGTGCACTAAAAAAAGGTAAACTGGGCTAGAATAAGATAAGTTGTGTAAATTGGACATGACTATGACACATATTAATTGGACTAGGATCACACACATGTAAACTAGACTAGAATCAGACACATGTAAATTGGAAATCTGGCACATGTCAATTGGAAATCTGGCACATGTCAATTGGACTTGAATCAGACACATGCAAACAACATAAATCAGACACATTTAAAATGGAATCAGACTCATATAGACTTGAATAAGACCCCTGTAAATTGGATTTAAATCAGACAAATGTAAATTAGACTTGAATCAGACTTGTGTAATCTGGACTAGAATAAGACTCATGTAAATTGGATTTAAATCAGACTTGAATCAGACTCAATTATACTTGATTTTGGGGAAGGGAGGGTTTGATTTCAATCAGACTGTGTAATCTGGACTAGAGGAATGTAGCCTTGAATTAAGTCAATAATAAATGTCTATTGACTAAAAGGTACCGGTATGTACTGTGTTAGAAGATAGTAGACATCAAACACATTACTTATTTACATTGGTTGGGTGTAAGGTGATTAGAAACATACATCTTCATTCTTTCAATATCTTTAGTCTTATCAATATATTAGACAATCAGAGAATTAGGTTTACAGGCTATCAATTTATAACCCTTATATAATTATTTTGATTACATTTGGTAAGGTACTGAACACCTAATATCACCTAATGTCTGAGAACGTCAACTCCTAATCTATCTTTGAAAAACTTTACATCCTTATGTCTTTTTTTATTTGTGTATATCGTGTGTAGTTTTTACCCTAAAAACTGAGTCTTGAAATTTTTAACAGCTACTGATGGTCCGCCATTTGTAATTGAATGCTGATGGTAGTGTCAATACTCTTTTGTGATTGGAAAAAACAGATGGTAAGATGGAAGACATTAGCCCACATGACAAAGTCTTAGATTTGGCATAAAGTCATCAAACTCACTGATGTCCAAAAAATGATTCTATAATCTATGGAATTAGCCAGAAGTTCAGCTGTATGATATGTCAAACTATAGACTGGAATAAAATAGTTTGATATTGCCCACATGTTATTATTGAAGTAATAATCTGTAATTGTCTACCCAAATACTTCACAATTATATACTGATAGATATCACATCTGGTTAGTCTTCTGTTTTTACTATTAGATTGGAAATGCAGTCAAATAACATAACTAGTTGAATATTGCCATCAGGACCATTAGGTGCACTGAGACTACTTCAAGCTTGTTATAAATATTTCCAATAAAGAATCAAAATATTAGATATGTGGAAATATTCACAGATGTAGAGTACATACAAAACAATTGCATCAGAGGATCAGTTAATCTTATAGAATGTGAACATGCTTAGGTCTAAGCTCTCATCATGAAAAAAAGACTTGAATTAATATACTTTCATCATATATTTTGTTATATTGTAGGAGAACCTGATGTTAGATTTTGATTCTGAAAAGTGTCACTGATAGCTGAAATGGAGCTCAATCAAGCAACTTCTATGACAAAAATATCCTTTAATATTTAATCTACTACATAAGAGATAAAGTTTAAAAACTAACGAATCTAAGTATAAATTGAAGCCAACCTTAACTAGTCTGTTATTTTGGGTGGAGAAAGACCTTTCTAACAAATGACTTGAATTGTTAACAAGCCACATTATAATACTAAAGAATGAACTCGTTTCTTAACAAATTAGTCTTGAACCTACAAGGCCAAAGTTCATTCTGACTAAATAACAGCTTACATCATACTACACCAAAATCAACAAAGTTGTGAATAAATTTAAATGAGACAGACCTATATTAAAGCTTTTTTTCCTTGAAAGTGTTTAAAAGGGGTGCTTTTTTGGTTGTCAGAATCAGATTTAAACCAACTGTAGCTATTTTCCTGTTTTTCTTTGTGTCTCTTCACTCACTTTTGTTAACGCATATTCATTATAAAACTCTTTGACCAGTTTTGAGAATAATATTCAAATTCAATAAATACGCCTAAAATTGTTAAAATTTGAATTATCGATATGAGTTAAGAAAACTATATAATTGTAGTCAGACAAGGCCGAAAAAGAGTCAGCACCTTTTTAACTACAAGTCTACAAAAAAGGAAACGATTGAGGCAAGAAAAGAGTCGGAAGTCTTTCTACTACCAACCCAGGAATAAAGAAGTGGCAAGGTCAGAAAGGAGTTGGTGCCATTCTAAATACCAGATCAGAAGAAAGGAAACTGTTAAGGTTTAAGAAGATAAATGAGAAGAAGAAGTCTATTACTCACTGTGTGTAGCTAACCATTCATTATAATCTAAACTAGGAGGTAATGAGGCTAATTTAAAGAGATCAACTTCTGTTATTCTTTCTTTAACACATTCTTCTGTTAAATATTCACGTTGTTCTTCTGTGGCTGGTGGAGTAGGTGAATCTTTATCCTTTCGTTTCCCCTTCCTGAAATTATATAATATTCAATGTTTACTAGAAAACAATCACTAACATTTTTAAATATGATATCATCTTCAGTTTGTCTACAATTTTGGCAGTTTTTGTTTGCAAGCTGTTATGAACACAGTGATGTCTGCAGTAATGGTTACATGGCTATAAAATTCATAGCGGGTGCACAGATCTCTAAACTCTCTCTGTGCCTCATCTGCTATATGTATCGCAATTATCTGTAAATGTTTATAATTTTGTATGCAAATGTAATATCATTTGTAAATTTGTATTATTTTGTATCGCTTATTGTTTGTTAATTTGTATTATTTAATTAGCGAATGTTTATAAAAAAATCCACATTGTCATTCTAAATCAGTAAACTTTTCTAATGTGGCTTTAAATTTGATTCTTTTTGTGAAAGTACCTGTTTACCAGCAATACTGATATTATCTCAAGTACGGTACTGCAGTGTTAAAAGTGAGATTATGTGGGGGTTTGTATGTAGAGTAACAAAACAATATGTCTATGTCCTGTAAAAATTGTCAGACAATATCAAGTAGATTCATGGTTTAATGTTATTTTGTCATGTACACAATATTTTGTCATCATCTCCACATTTACAAGTGCACAATCAGAGTATGGATACCAAGTCAATATATGGCAGAATTACTTTGATGGTATTAAATTTAAAGTCCAAACAAAATCTTCACCTCCAAAAACACTGAACACTGGTCATTGTGAAGGAAACCTATTTCAATTAATTGCTTTGCAGTTTCCAATTGTTTCCAATCCCCTTAACCTTAATGTTTATTGCTGTATTCCATATTCCCTGATCTGCTGCCTACCTACCATAAACAAAATGCATGCTTATATGGTAGGTTGATGCAGACATAGGAATTATTAGCACCTAAGCTACAATATAACTTTTTCAAAATTGTTTTTGAGACTCTTGTACTTGCTCTAAGTACTCTTACTATGCCTTCTGGTAACCCTGGCTGGGGGTACTCATATCCCAGGATGGAAACCAAAATTTAAAGCTCTTCCTTAAACTGATATTTGGTCACAAAGATTTCAAAACATCCCAATAAGCCAGTGAAAGTTGGCAAAAGATGAAACAAAATATGATATTATAAATAACAAGGGTATGTTAAGAGTTTTAGACTGTGTGGTCCAAGAGATTTGAACTGATATGATAACTGTAAGTTTTGGACTGTGTTAGACTTCATGTTGATTTGGTAATAAATTTGGTCAATAAAGATTTTGTTGGTTATTGACATTAATGTACACAGTAGTATTGGCAATAACTTATATCACACTGTATAATATGTTTATTTGACTAGTAATAAGCTTTCTTTTACTTTTATTTGTTTTTCAAAAAAAATTCCATTAACAAACCATAAACTTTACTTTTTTGTAACGCAATTTTTTAAGTATTCACTAAATTGTCTGACAGATATTGTTAAAGGTATACTACCTCTTAATGGACTAAAAAATGTTAAGTCTCAAATAATCGTCAATAAGAGTATATAATTATCAGTTGTGTTTACCAGGTGCCATGGCTAATGAATAGAACTTCTAGATAAGACGATATATCTATTATGAAAAATGCTTCTGAGCATGTTTCAAAATTACTTAATTTAATGGATTTATTGAAGTAAAGAGGGATTCTGTTGTATAGTTATGACACCAGGTTAGTCCACTGATGAACAAAAACTGATTTTGGCCAAGTTTAAAAATTTTAATTTTTTGGTCATCCTAAGAGGTAGTATACCTTTAATTCAAATTCCTCAAAATGAAATATTTCTGATGCCACAATTGGTGCTTGCTCAGTGTTTAGTTTCAATCCTTTTCTGCACAACTAAAGGTGCCTGTAAATGGAATACAGTAGTAGGATGCAGTGTGTAATGTTGGATATGTTAAAAATAGAAGAGGAAATACACAATAATCCAGCTTTTGTTAATGTCTGTACTTATTAACAAATCTACTTTAAAATTTCTTTAAATTAACCAACCCTTACTTTCTAAAAGGGAATTAATTATTTGAGACAGTTTTAGCCAATTTACATGATAGTTTGAAATTTAATTTCATTATAAGGCAAAAAGACAGACTGCATAATCTGTGAAGTTATGTATGAAATGTAATTTTCTAATCTAATCAAATACTCCACCCAGCTTCATTATGCAAAGTCGTGTGTTTTCAAATTTAGAAAAAATAATATAAATTAAGAAACCAAATCTAGGTGTTCCAACTTAAATACCGAAATTAGAAATAAAAGTAAAACTAATGAGATAATTTTTTGTTAAAATATATCTATGTATGTACATTGATTGCATTTATAAAGTTTGTCTCAATATCTCTGTCAATGTAACATATTTCTTACATCTTGCCCTTGATGTCTACTCTATTACGGATTAAATCAAATAAGACATATATTAATGTGAAGTTACCTTTTAACAATCCACTCGCTTCTTAAATATTCTGAATAATACATGAGATTGAGTAACTCTATTTTAATGAAAAAAAAGTTGTCTCAACTGGTTAAAATAACTTCATATGAAATTACATGCTTTATATTTTAATGAATAATGAATATAAGCTAACATTAGCATATATATAACATTTTTGTTTGCACCCTGCCATATCCACCCACCCAGAACCCATATTATGTTATACTATTGTGAATCTAGATAAGTATGTATCTAAGCACTGTTATTTAATTCAAAGGAACAATTTCTTACATTACCATCTTTAACAGGATATCCATTGGTTTCCTTTGATTGTTGGATAACACCAATCAACAATGGAACAACTGTATCCAAGATCTAAAATTATGTCTCCGTCAAAACAAGTTGCTTATCAGTTATCATTACCTATCAATCAAGTATACAATTACTTATTTATATACATTTTGATATGTCACAGACTGACATGTCAACAAATGTCAGGTGAGCATGTCATGACCTTAAATAGAATGTCATGGAAATAGACTTAATTATTTCTAACAAACAATGTCATTTGATCATTACTATGATTGGCAATTAATGAATGGAATTCTATTAAGCCTGATCAATTAGGGTAGAGTTTTCTGTCCTTATGGCAATTAAATAAACAAAAAGTTTCTTACTGGTAATTCCAGAGAGTCTACAAGTTAATGTCATACTTTTTCTTCCAAATTCATTGGGTTACAACCCTGCTGGCCCAAAATACTTTTAAATCCACCAATTTGAGTTTTACCAACAAATTATGGCAGGCTAACTATAATTCTGATGCCATTTCATGATTAAGAATTCTGCATCTTTTAGAGAGTTCACATAGCCATTACTGGTAGTGTTATCATGTTTCTCATGCGATCAGTTAAAGTCAGCATAATCAAAAAGTTGAACAACTGATAACAACTCCCATTCACAGCTGGTAAGAGATTCTGACTGCTCAGGTTGACAACCAGATTTAATTTTTTGTGAAAAACAAGGAACTAACAGCAATAATGATATTTTTCACTCAGTGTGCCCTGCAATAGACAAGCCTAACAAATGATTTAGGAAGTCAGTGAAATTGCAGATGCTCAATTTGTCACAAGGTCAAACTATACCCAAACCAAACAAATCCAAATGAATTTTATCTGCCAATGAGATTGGTTCTTCATTTTCCTGGTAACCAACATTTCATAAACATATGGCATGGCCTACACAATACACAGAATAAAAGCAATAAATTATACAACTATATGGACTTTCCTTATCTGTCAAGCTTTATTACATTATTACAAATAATCTCCTAATATTTATTACTGCTTTATTATCCTATTAAATAATTTCCTTACATAAACTTTAGTACCCGTTTGTCTAGTAGTACCAATTATCTCATTTTATCACATGATATAATAACCATAGACTTTTAATCAAAATACCTACAAGCAATTCAATTCTGATAATCAAAATCTTGTCCAAAGGATGGCAAAATCAAGAGTAAAAGTTGTATCGTGGTTGACTCATCTAAAGGGAAGTGCCATCAGATGTTTCAAGAAGAGTAAGCCCGCCACTACATGGTCAACATCATGAGATACAACCAGATCCTGTCACAGAAGGTCGAAGCTCTGTTAGTTTTGACACTCTTTTGATTCTTGGTATTTAAAGATAGGTTGAAGGATATGAATTAACAATAAGGATTTCCTGATAGTTTAAGAAATAAGCATAGCAAATTGTAGAAATATTTGCCTTACCAGCTAATTAAGCTCAATTTAAGCTATTCATTGTACTTTTCAAAATTAATACAGCCTCAATTCTAAAAGAGCATATCAGTTCAAAAAATTGAACAGTGAAAGATTTTGTTATTGTAAGTTCTTGTGATATATTTTTGGAAGCTGATTCATCAGGGAATATAAATAATAATAAAATATAGAATTCCACACAATTCCAAGTTGATATTCATGTGAGCATTACATATATGTGGTTTTTATGATTAAAAACTCCCTTCTTCCTCAAAGAATTCTATCTTAGATTTTCCTCTTCACATTGCCAAATCAATTATCCTTCATCCCTTTGAGCAGACTATCTGGAACTAAAGCCTTATTAAGCCAGAGCTGTCAGCTTAACAAGGCTAATACAATGATATGTACATGATGTATGACGTCAAAGGTTACAAGATTTAGAACAGACTATCTAGCTTGACTTTCTTCAACATATCAACATCAACATTTTATGCAGTTAAGAGCAACATGAACATTATTTTGACTTCAAGTATTTCACCTACTATAGCGGCCACAATTTTTGTTGCTGATATTTGTCACAGATGCAAATCTTGAGTGAAATCTCACATGTGTCTGTGTTTCCAATACAAGATTATTATTTTGATCATCAAACCAGTTTAATTTTTTCAGATTTTAAGATTTTTTCCTAGTCAGTGATTCTTTTCTTCATATTCACGAAGAGAAAAGACTGACTCAGAGTGTCATCTTCCAATCAGATTCATTTTCACTTGAATTGTGTCTTGAGCTTATACACAGATAGGGAAA